CGCCCCCCTCCCCCTACACTCACACACCCCCGCCGTCACCACCACCTGTGGCTGTACCTGGGCAGGGTCTCTGGGCAGGGACGCAGGCAGCTTCCTGCTCCTCTCCCGGGGAAGCAAAGGTAAGAACACTGCCCGCCTCAGGCCAATGAGTGAGGGAAACTAGGAGGGAAGACAGTGTGCCCAGCGGGGGGTGGGCTGAGCCCTGGCCTAGGGGAAAGGAGGAAGCAGACAGAAGAGGCTCCCGTCCACCCCCTGCCCCTCCTGCAGGAAAGGGACCAGCGGGCAGAGCGGACAGGCCATGCTGCTCACTGGGGCCCCGGCCGCCGCAGGGTGACATCACCTGGGAACTTGTTAGAAATACCGTCTAGGGCCCGACCCCAGACCCACAGAATTAGAATCCCTGGGGTTGCCCGCCCCCCACTCTGTTCTAAGAAGATCTGGGGGGCGGGGGTTCTGATTGCTCAAATTTAAGAACCCCTGGGTGAAACAGCCGCAGAAAAGAATGGCTTCCCTGCTCTTCACTTTTTTAAAAAATATGGAACGCTTCACGAATTTGCGTGTCATCCTTGTACAGGGGCCATGCTAATCTTCTCTGTGTCCTCCCAATGTTAGTATACGTGCTGCCGAAGCGAGCACCCCGGCTCCTCACTTTTAGGGACACTCACCAAAGGTCACAGAGCCAGGCCTGTAAAGCCAGAACAGGGGGAAGGAGAAGTGGCCCCTCCTTCCCCCACAGTCACCCAGGCTGGGCAGCCCATCGCGGGCTCCTAAGCGAGGGGGTTCACCCAGAGACGGACATTTGAGTGGCTCTGGTGCACAGCCCAATCCAGCTGCACACCTTTGAGGGAACGCTAGCTCTGTGGGCGGCCTGAACACCGTCCAAAGACGTGTCCCTCTAAAAATTTCTCACTCCATCTTTCCTCCTGCCCTGAATTTACTTGGCAGATCCCCACTTGCCCCTCATCCAAGGACACCAGGGTTCTTCGGAAATGGCACCCCAGGGGTGGCCTGCGCTTGGCTGTGGTTGTGGCCACGCCTGGTCGATGGGCCACTCGTGGCAGTGCCTGGTGTGGCGGGGAGGGTCCAGAGCTGGGGCACGGGGTTCCCAGCACGAGCAGAGCTCGGCTCTGCTGACTTCCCGGCTCTAGGGCTTGACCTGCTTTCAGAGGTGGATGTCCTGCCGTGGGCGCTGGTGGAGTGCCTACCTTGTTGGCAGGGTTGTGCCTGCCGTGGGCGCTGGTGGAGTGCCTACCTTGTTGGCAGGGTTGTCTCCCTGCACTAGCGTTTTATGTTGAAGCTTGGGAAAGAGGGAGAGGTCTCTGTGTTCCCACCCCTGGGGATAGGGCAGAAGGGGAATCCAGCTATCAACTCTCCCTTCTCCTCTTTCTAGAAAGACTCTTCCTTCTCTTTCTTAGGGCGAAATCCTGGTTAAATGGCTTCGCTGCCTGTAAGCTTTACCTCACCCCCAAGCGGGAGTCTGGGCAGCTGACACCCCCCGCTCCCCCCTT